AGTATATGCAAAATGGATACATTTAATATGACAATATAAAACAGAACAACTCAATTCTAACCTGCTTTATTACCCTGCTGACCCTTACCAATAGCATGGCTGTTATTCAAATGAAGAAAGAGTAGACTGGCACATTATTATTTTACTATTATTCAATAACCTATTCACATGCTCAGCTATACAGAGGTTGCTATATTTAGTTGCTAAGCATGCATGTAAAAAAAATCAGTCAAATTTTCTTAAGGGAGTGGGAGTGCTTAAATTCCTTGCACACTTAAAAAAAATTAACATTCCAAGGGTGACAGGCTATGAAGATACCACATAATATAGCAGTGCCAGATCAGGATGATCTAAAGGTAGCTTAATAGCCACTATCCTTACCCCAACACTGACAATTGGGCTGTACTACATAGGTCCTGTCTTTGCAGTAAATCTACTGTGCTTGGCAGCAGCACTTTCAAGCACACCACAGTGTGCATGACAGAACATCTCAAATGGCAAGTAGCACAGCTGTGTCTGTGCACACCCATGGGTAAACTAATTAGCATGGGGACAGGCTATGTAGTGCTAGCACGCAGCAGTGCTAACTAGCCCTTTCATATCACAGTACAGGTAGGGCTACTTGGCTTGCGGTTTAGGGAACAGCTGGCCCAGTAAGCTGCAACATGCTAGCTGAAACTTAAATGTTTGTCTAAAGTTGTACTCATATACAGGCCTATGGAAATCAATGGGATTAAACATGTCAGTACCATTACAGCCTTGCACTTTACAGGACTTTGTGTCATGTATAAAACATCATTGATGTGATATTTTAGTCTGGGAGTAACAAAAAACTACAAACCACAAAACAAAAATGCCTTGAACTTCAAAGAGAGAAGCAAACACAAGAGGTACAGTATGAAAAAAGGAGAGAGGGAGTTAGGGGAAAGCACATGAATAGTACATTACAAAGGCCATGCTTTTATGAAGAAAATACAAAAACAAAGACTTTGAAGCAAATAAAAACCATGTTTTTAAAAGTGTGAAGGAGTAAACTAAAATGGATGTCAGAGAGAAGTAACAATGGTGCATCTTCCTGGGCCCAACTCCAGCTTCAGCACACGTGCGCGCGCGTACACGCACACGCACACACACACACACACACGGGTGGAGATGAGATGGGAACATTCCTAAAACACAAAAGCAATTTCAGAGATACACACATGACTAAATGCTTAACAAGACCTTCAACATTGTTAGTTTGAGTTTTAAACAACAAAAAGCTGTAGTTTAAATTAAAAACTGAAGTCAACTTTTATTAGGCAACCATTATGCAACAAAGTATGCAGGGCACATATAATTTAAATCATGGATGCTTAAAAAACACAAAACCCCCAATGGGCAAATGGATTATCACATTTGGAACAAGCTGCAGATGGTGAAACCATCCCATCCTGTCAAAGAAGTTACAATTAATCTCCATCAAAGCATGGCAGGTGTTGCTATTGAGATGTTTGTCACAAAGTAAGAACAAACCCAATATAAAACTGCACAAATGAAAAAGCCAGAGAAAACAAGGAACTGAAAGTTCTCCCAAGAGCTGTCACAACTGCCCACTTCAACAAAATCCTATCAATAAGCAGACACAAACTTGTAACCAACTGCATAGATACTTGCTTTCCCAGAACACAAGCTAAGGTAAGGTGGCTTTTATGCTTCTCACTAGCAATATCCTCCAAGGCAGAAGCAGAATTTGTAAACATCCACTGGGTAAATGAAGTACAGGAGAGTAATATCAGCACATTTATTGTACTGTACCCAGAACTAGCACATCATGCAACAATATGGGAAACAATATAAGAGGCACATACCAAATCCCTCAGTGACAAACCAGTGCTTTTATTCACCAGTGACAAATACCTTCTAGGTATGTATTATCCATACTGGAGGGCACGTTCAGATATACCTGGAACATTCATAAAGCAGATACCCATAACATGAGATGCTAACCAGCTTACATGACAAGTGGCCAGCTGACCTCAGTCTAAAGCCAGCAGAACAGCACTCATGACTGAGCAAAATCAGTTCCTAAGAAAAAGGCAGAATGCAGATTGGAATCCATCAAGGTCTCCACTAGTACTCAGTGGCAACTATAACTGCACCTTCTCATTTGCCTTTCAAAAAGGGAGCAGGGTGCTCTTTTACAAGTCGTACATGTATGATCTCTCAGATCCATGATGCAGCTCTACTGCCTTAGAAGTTGCATCACAGTACACTCTGACCATGGGGTTTCACAGATTGTTAGGGGCTGGAAGGGATCTTGAAGATCATCGGGTCCAGCCCCCTGCTCTAGGCAGGAAGACAACTGGGGTCAATCTCACATGAGTTCATACAGTTGAAGGGGAGGAGGTTTGTAGGGAAGACTACTTCATTTCACGCTTACCTGATTACACTAAAAGACAGGGAAAGAACAGCTGAGCACACTTTGTGTTAACCTAGGCCTAAACAGAGCAAATTAAAAATACCACAGCTAACAGATACAAACACTGTGGAGTTTAGAAATGGTGAATTTCAAGTACCAAATTTGGGGAATAATTTAGGGTTAATAGTGATAACTGGAATATACAGATCTCACCATCCTCTTCATCTTTTTATATGTGCAACTGCAGAAGAGTGAGCAGTGAGAAGAGCAATGATCCATAACTATATGGTCTTCACATTAACTTCATGCAGTCTTGTTTCTACCTTTAATTTTTTTTTTTTTTAAACAAGAAAACTATTTTAATAGGATCCTTTTACAGGCTTAGAAATTCTTTTAACACAACTGCTAAGAGCCCTATAGGGCTTGAGTTTAAAAGAAGGTCACAAAGATCCAGCTGGAGTTCAGATACCGCAACCATATGCATAAATCAGGTAAGTACACACACTAACAGACAGTCAAGATATGCAATGGGCCATCTGAACAAGAGGTCTGGCATTTTCATGTGCAAGTCAGGCATGTCTGTGCAGTAGCAAGAAAAGCTGCACTTCAATGTTCAACTTTGTACTGCATCAGTCAATTTAACGTATTAACATGGATGAACACTATGGGTAAATCAGTATAATCAGCGATGAAAATTCAGTGAAATTCTATTTGTAGAGGGACACTAGAAATGGCATCTCTATTCCCTTTCCCTGTGTGCACTGAGTAAGTAGTTACTCTTTTTAATTCTGGTAGCACTGTGGATATGACAGGGGTAAGAGAGCAAGCCCAGTTCTGTTCTTTCTTGTGCATCCACCCAGTTAAAGAGATTCCAAATGCAAAATCAAAAAAGTTCAGCCCACACCTACTCTATCAAACACCACAGAAAGCCAGGAGGCTGCATAGGTGTGCTCGAGTACAAAGGGGTCTGTAATGCATTGCCAGAGAGAGTATGAAAAATGTTAGTGTGGGCAGTGATATGCAAGCACAAAAGAATGCAGTGGGGCTTTCAGATTCCTAATGCTGTAGACAGGGAAAACAAAACAAACAAGAAAGTTCACTTATAAAATGGTGTCATTTGGAATGGACTGAAATAAACATGAAGCCCCCAGTTGTTAATATTACCACCAAATGGTCAGACTAGACACAATCTTGAAGATTCAGAGACAGAGGTAAAACTTCTGTAGAAAAGCACATTGCTATGATGTAATATCTAATAAGGGGCTTCCTACTTTGGGAAATAAACCATATGAAAACCTCTAAGAAAAAAAAATGAAGAATACACAAAACATACTTACTTTAGTTTAGGAACTGCAAATATTTCCCTAATTGATATAAAAGCTCATTAGAAAAAAGTTAATAGAAGAGAGCTGTTACATTAATAGTAAACTTTAGCACATTCGTGTTTCTACTAGAATGGATTATTTGTTCTTATCTTGGTCCTGACATACATATTCGATCTTTTTAAGGTCACTCAAAAATGTGAATGACTTATATAGTAATACTACATATGTAGTAAATATTCACTGTTTAAGGAAAAAAAGTTGCAACAAAAATTGCAGATGATTATACAAATGTAGCATTTAGGGTGTCAAAACTATACTTGCTTACTCTTTTTTGGTATCTGATAACCATTCCCACGAATACATTTTTAATCCAAGTTGTTTTTACTTGGTCTTAAAATTGCTACACACTTCTCAGTTACTACCTAGACTGTTCTGTTAGTGAGAATAAATTGCCAAAAGACATTGAATACATTTGCCATATGAAGAGGAAATACTACTGTTTCCATAAACGAAAAGGTGAACACATACTATAGGTGACAATACCTTTGCAAAGTGAATGCTGAAAAAAGGAGTGAGAGAGCGAGCATAAGAGAGCTAATGCACCCCACTCTCCACCCCAAAAAACAGCAGGAAATGGAACAATTTAGACTTGGGTCATCCGTCAAAGTACATCTATCTCAGTTACTATATACAGATGATAAATTATTACCTTCACTATCAAAGGTTTTCCTTATTTTAGTATTTGGCTTTCATTTTTATACTATTTTACACTATTTTCAGGGGAAAAGCCACATAAATGTGAAATGTTAAGTTACATTGTCCTTTCTCCTGCATAATAATTAAAGTCACAGGCTAGCAAATGCAAAATTTATTTCAACTGTACATAACAGATGTCCTTTTTATATAAAACAAAACACTCAATTGGTATATGCAACCACAAACAATATGCATACTGTACAATACAATGCAACATTCAGCTATACATCCATTTTGAATTTTCAAAAGGCAGTCACCTACCAAAGATGGTTTCTCCCATTCACAAATGAAATGCACAATATATAGATTTTTAATATTTTACGTCACTATGTACACATTACTGTGTTTTGGCAAAATTATGCAAAACACGCAATCAGTATAGCTTGGTGTCAGTTTATGCGTAAATACTAATTTAATGGAAATACCATTTAAGCCATATGGAAAGGGGCTAACAATGGCTTAACCCTACTTTCTAATTCAGGTTTTCCATCCTTTCAGTATAATACTAACTGTACACATTTTTTTTAAACAGAATTGCATAAACATAAGGTACTATATTATTACCATGACTAAAGTTCCACAAAAATAGAAACACTGAACCTTTGGACTGAATACCACCATTTTCACACTGGCATTTTTTAAGCTTGTTGTATTAATACTTTTGATCAATTCACAACAGTTAGTTGGCCTGTAACATTGAAAACACTGAATGATTTTTAATTCTGTAGTGATGTTAGCATTCAAAAACATCATAACATAACATCATTCTGATTATATGATTTACCTGCTACAAGAATTAATGGTGGTAAACTGTCAAAGCTTTGGTGCATAGAAAGTCAATAAAATCTTCAGACCTGGGTAACAAAAACATTCTGTGTGATAAAGGAAAGTTCAAGTGCAGCAACTGTTTTTCAAACTCATATTTACAGTACATAATATATGTAACAGCTGTATTATGTAAGTGAATAGGCATTTAACCAATGCAAAAAACAGTAGTTAACTGGAACACTATTGCTTTAAAAACAACAGGAAAAATGACCCACACTTTCTGCGTAAGTAGAAAGCGAATACTTTGTGTTTTTAAAGTAAAAATGAAAGCTAAGTGGGCTTTACAGATGCTCAGCTGTCTGACAGCATAGAGTACATACGCCACATACTGGATACCCATCAGCAATTTTCTTTTAGATAAAATTAAGCGCAACACATACATATACCTGGACACCAGGAGGGTCAATCTAACACTTGTATGATAGTGCATTTAAAAATCATCCTGACAGGCATTTTAACTTTCATTAGCTAGTTTTCCAATCCATCAATAGTGATAGAATACGAGTAGATTAGCAAACACTTTAGAACAGAAAGTTAAGTTACCAATGTGAAGAACTAATACAATTTCTCCACTCTGACATCCTTCTGGGCTTGTTCATGTTTAAACCATTAAATATTCAAGTTTACTTTTCTGCTTAAGCCACCTGCAAAACTGTCTTATTGCCTCAGGACTTGGAATCAATTCAGTCATATTCCCAGACAGCAACAACTGTACCACACTTATCTTAATTGTTCATGCAGTGATACTGGAACACTGAGCACTGTACGATTTGAAGGAAAAAAACCACAGCACCCTGGAGTCCTAAGGAAAGCAAGTAAAATTACTGACCTTTTTTAGGGAAATGCTTTTTTTCCCCCCCAATGCTAATGTTAGGAAGGATTTAGAAAACAAGTATTTCAATTCCAGTTCTGTTAATTTCAATACAGAACACACACGTTCCCCCAGTGATGTCACAGGTGCAGATTCAAAACCTTCAACTTCATATAATGCATCACATCCAGTTTTCTGCAAATCTAATATTACTCTGAATGAAGAGCTGGCTGCTGAAAATAAATGTGCTTATGAGAGAAATTACAAAACACCATAAAATGTCACAGACATCCAAACTGTGAAAACCAAAAGCCAAGTATTCTATTTCCAACAAGCCAATTTAACCGCAATTATACCTACAGTTCCAGATGCTGAACACACAAGCTTTTTTAATGGGAACCCTTACAAATAGTTTGATTTTACCTGGAATTTTATTGGTTTGAAAAAGAATGATGAATGATTTGCTAACAACTGTGTGCATTTTAACAGCCAAATCAGCATCTAAAACCTGGTGTTTTCCACACTATTGCATACAGGAAAGTGACAGCATAACTGCTGATAAAGTGAAACTACCCAAACATGTCACATTTAACAGGCATACACTTCCAGGTCTTCCAAGACACAACTGCTTAACTTGTGAAAATGTGCGATTTTTTTCCATAAAATATCTAAACAATGAAAACAAACAAACAAAAAAGACAGAAATACAAAAACAAAATTTCATGGATTAGCAAATGCTCTTCCAGATTTCCCAGATATTCATATATCCAAATGATTTTATAGTTCTTGTACTGCATATTTTAAATATTTTTCTCTCGTTCCCCCTGCTTTATACCTTGTGTTAATAATACATAGAAAATTAGACCACTATAAGTCTAAAGTATTTCCATATTGCTGGCACTTAGCTCACAAACCAGTATGGTTTCAGTACAAAATACAAAAACGCGCTGTTTCCAAAAAGAAAAAAAAGAAATAAACTTGTTGCTACACTGACCAAGTCAAAAAACAGACCATTCAGAGCTACAGACCAACAGCTGTCACTTAAAAAACCCTAAAGAAATAATATCCTTAATAGGATATACACTCTGTCTGTAGAATGACTATTTGTATGTGTATTAAATTGGCAATAAAACCTCCCATCAGGTACAATTGAAATATCAGAAACCCCCTCAAAAGTTGTTAAAATATCACATTAAGAGACAAGGAACAGCAAGAAAACATCTAAGAAAAGCAGGCTGTGATACAACAAGCATTTGTTAAGAAAAGCTCAGAAGTGCATTAGTTCTGGTGAGAGATATATGAGCAACAGCTCTTACGAGATGTAGACCCCATTCTGTAACTATGGGCTGTCCATATACTGTCATAGTCAGAGTCTTCTGAGAGGTCTGAAGGCTCCAAACGAGAAAGACTACTGCGACGACCCAAGGAGTCTAGACTTGATTGGTCATCATCAGCCAAGACGTGATTATGCATCAGGTCAGTGCCTTGCCATGCTAAGGATGTATGGGTGAAATGAAATGGTAGATGTGGATAGGCAGAGGTGGGATGAGGAGAACGTAAGGAATAGCCACAACCAAACACATGAAACAAAAGCAAAAGGTGATGGGAAGAGAAGGAAAAGAGAAAATATTGTTAAAAAGGCACCAAAGCTTTATTATTTCTGGTTGGGTTTTATGTAAAAGGTACACTTGGCACGTAATAACTTTTGAATGTTTTTCTTTTTAAACTTTTGTGCAGACTGAATTAGAAAAGTGCATCATAATTTGAGTACCCTGCTATGTTTTGTTTAATGAATAGGAGAGTCAATGCTGCTTAACAGAAAACTGAATGGGGAGAACAAAAATACTGGCCCACAGACATAGTTCAGGTATAAGAATAGAAAGGGAAATCTTTTTATAAAATGAGAATTTTATGGGACTAACCAAAAAGTTGCAAACCAGATGAGCTACCTTAGAATAACTCCAAAACACTTACAAATATTTTAGAGACTTACTTTAGCTAGCTCCCTGCCAGGGCGCTGCCAATTGTCATTTTAATGGTTGTATCTTAGTTAATTCCCCAGCAAGTCCTGCAGAACAGTTGGTGTGGATAACAGTATTCAAAAATACTTCTCCCACCTGACACTTCTATCTGGAAGAGTATTTATTTATTAAGTTCCTGGAAACACTTGAAAACTGAAAAGGTATAGGTGAGCCATATATGCTGAATTTTTACTGATGTTAACCCTTATCTAGGGGTCTCATACTTCTAAGAGTAAGAAGTGATAGATCAGGTTTGTAAGAAAGGCCCACCCTTTGCTGTCTCTTTTTCACTCCCTTTCCCAACAGTACCTCCAAATGCCTTGTTCCTCCCAAATATGAACAAATGTTGCCCTCCAACTTCTCTCCAGTCCACCATTACCCTTACAGGGCTGAATTTGGACTTGCAAAAGCAGCACAATGTAGGACCGAAGACAGTGCTACTAAGAGAACTGTCAAGTCAGTGTTGGGATGGAGAGGCAGTTTGTGACCACAGAGGTGAGGAAGGGGTACAGAAAGACTGTGACATTTTTAAAAAAATGCCTGGCTTTTTTTTTTTTTATATTACACAATGAACTGAAAATGAAAGAGTTCCTTCTTTCCCTTCTGATTTTAAACTAAGTGTCTTGACAGAAAAAAAATTTATAATTTTAATGCAAATGGGCAACCTTTACAAGAAAAGCAGATGTGCATCTAAATTGGTATTTTTATTGTTTCTTACTGAAGCTAAACGCAAATAAAAGCTGTTGACTTTTGATGTATGCAATGATTTCTACTGCACTATGTATATTTCTTAAATATACATAGAAAGGGGAAATAGGCAAAAAAGCAAAAAATATGCTTCACATCCATTGTGTGCGCCTACGTACACACAACTGCATTATATTAAATGTTCCCAAACTATTTCTTGTCGCATTATCTTTGAAGAATTATCAACGCCAATTAAGCACACAGCGATGACATTTAAAATAGCAATGATCTAGTTTAAAATGCAGAACATGAGAATTTTCAAACTTTAAAATGGACTTTGTTCATTTTTACCAGGTAAACCACAACAAAAACACAATGATCATATGATTAAAAATCAAATTAGTGATCTAACGAAGGAATGAGCCAAGTACTAAAATTGACAAGTGTCACCTTGAAGGCCCAAAACGTGTCAAAACTCAAGAGACACTGGAATAAAGGTGTCATTTCTCATAAACATTTAGGTAATAACAATCTAAAATGTAAGGGGGTGGAGGGGAAGAGACAGAGAGAGAGACTTGCAATAAACCCCTAGACAGAAAGGCCCAAATTCCTATTTTAATTTTAAACATTGAAAAATCAGCTACTTTGCAATTAACACCAAAGCAACTGCAGCTCTGTCAAGGAACTTCCCACTGCCAGTCTGGAGTAGAAATAAAAGATGCAAAAAAAAGCTGCTTTGGTAAGAACACTAACAAACACTTCAACAGCATTAATGGACAGTGAATAAATTACAATGTCCAAACTCGTAACTGCTGACAACAAAGATCACTATGCATCTCATGACCATTTCATAGTACACCACGAAGAAATTAAGTTTACTGGCTAAACTGTGCAAATTCAAAGTGAACATTTTTCTTCTTCCTTATACAAGCTAAATGCATGCTGACAGATCCCCCTGCTATGTAGTATTTTATTTACAATACAGAGAATGGCTACAACTGCAACCTTGATTTGAATAAAAATTTTCCAGTACATCTTGGGAACATTATAAAAAGATACAAATAAATGAATACGTATCTGAGAAAACTAGAAGTGACAACCTTTCCCAACACATACAGATTAAAGAAAATGAACAGTTGCTCTATGAAAAAAATATTATAAAGGGATTAAAATTTGTAATGATTTGTAATAATTATTAAACAGCTAGTGGCAATGTTACTCTTCTGCAATGGGAGACAAGGTTTCTCTCAACCCCTAAAGTAAAGAACATAATTCATTAACCAGAATCAACCAAAGGTATAAGAGCAGATGTAGCCCCAAAATACTAAAATCTATTACTCCATTTACCTGTAAATTTATCAACTTCTCTCTCATTTATATTTTTAGCAATCCAAACAGACATTCCTTTTTGCCTTTCACACTATGGCAAATAAAATGCTACGGATTGCTGTAAGAACCGTAAGATCCAATTGCTATAACATAATATGGATTCTACAAACTGCTTCAGGACTTCTGATTCTCTCCTTCAGGTACCCAAGCATTCAACAATGAGACAGTATCCAAAGACCAATTATCTTAGTCCACACATGCCATTATGTGAAAACAGTCCCAGTCCTTTGTAACTGGCAAAATAGCTAACCAGAATTCTGTTCAATCATTTCCTTATTTTCTAACTTACTTGAATTTAATGTTTGCCGTGTTTTGGCACTTGTACAGTAAGCTTCAATGACCTTTAGAATTTGAGCATCTTCTTCTAGCGCAGCTGTACCTACAGTCAATAAAGAAAACAAACAAAAACAAACAAACAAAAAAAATCAAAGCTTTACTATGACTGGAGCTATTAAGCAAGTTTTATTTGTAAGGTGATTCTAGTTCTACAGGCAAATATCAATACTGATGTTCCAATTCAACTAAGATTTAAAGTTCATCAGTTCTACAGAACACCACTCTTGAATACCTCCATAAATTGTACAGAATAACAAATCTAGATGACAGTATTTTATTCATGATTTTCATTCTGCCACAAGTTGCAATAAGCAAAAAAGAAAGTGGTGTTTCAGCAAACAGATACACACATATATTCTATACCTAGATACAGCTACAGATAAAGGGCTTAGTCTGTTTGTCTGTAATGCTCTTGGGGGGTGTGGCTCCAGCCAGTTTTGTGTCAAAAATGCATGTCAAGAATGACTGCTGGATGCGAAGCGGCAGCAACATGGGTTGGGTGGTGGCAGCTGCCATGTGCAAGCTTCCCCCCCACTCCTGGGAGGCGGCAGTGCTCCATCTCTGCCGCATTCCCACAACATTCTTGATGGGCAATTTGCTACTACTATTATAAAATCTACTGGAAAACATTTTAAATCTGATCACTGACTCCACATTTCAAGAAGCCTTCTGAAAATGTTAAGCTTCATAGAATACCTACAGTAGGAAGAATTCTCTCTGTGGTATTCTGAAAAGAGCAGACAAAAACAATACACAATCCATTATATTTGAACATGAAGCCATATCAATGTTTAAAATTGGAGAAACCAGAGAATAGGACATTTATTTCATGGAAAGAAAGTTAAAGCATCATGGAGCATAAAAGTAAAGACTTTATGAAGGTTCACAAGTGAAACTAGTTTTTCAAAAGCTATACTACGAGGAAGTTTAGAAGTCTGAAAATTAACCTTGGGCATAATACTACTCTCATATAGAGCCGCATACAAAGATTGAAAGTGTACAACCTCACCAGGTGACTCAACAAGATATATTTTTGTATCGACTTCAGGGAGGCAGAATTTCACTCAGTTGCTTGATTTGTTTCTAAACAACACACACCTATATATATGCTATTGGCCATGGAGATTGTTATGGAGGGCTTCTAAAGGTTTTTCAAGTCAGCAAAAAGCACAGCCTTGTTCCAGCAGACAGGATATTCAGATTTTTACTACAGTATTATTTTCCAATGATCTATGATTTATAATCAGAACAAAAGGAAAACCTCACTAAAGTTAAGAACTGTGTCTAGCTGCAAACAGCACAGAAGAGCTTACATCAACCTGAAGGTTTCCCAGTCATGCTCAAGGAATTCAAATATGTCCATCCTTTTCCTGATTACAGAATTACTTTTTTTAACCAGTGCTGAAATGTGTCAACCAAACAATTATTTCAGGCAATCATACTTAACTAGTGAAGAGAAAAACCACTGCTTTTTATAGGTATTCTCCTTTCTTACCTTAAATCTAGGTTCATTGATTGGTATTATCAAATTACTCGATCAAACAGCAATTGACACAAAAGAACAATCACTTCTAATTACTGAAACATTAGCTAAAAATGTATGACAACATGGTGAAGTCTCAATTTAGTCAGTCACTAAATAAAGGTCAGGCTTTCCTTTTAGCTGAGAAATGAAACTTAAAAAAAATAAAAGTATCCTCTCATTAAACAAGTAAGAATTATTTAATCTCCCTCTAAAGCTACACAAAAGTTGTTTTTAGCATTTGCATTTCAATCATTTCTAAGACTACAAGTGTTTGCCTAGTATCTTGGAGAAGTGCAATGAAGCTGCAACTGCATACTGGCAACGACGACTGAACCTCCATACAAATATCTGATTTGATGTGTTGTACTGGACATTCATTAAGAAGCAACGAAGCTACTGCAATGCATCTGCATTGGTTATAATGTAGGAAAAATTCAAGAATGTTTCTCTGCCATTACTACACTTTTATGCCTAATTATAGCAGCTGGGAAAGATTAAAAATGTAAAGAAAATAAAAGGCCAATTAACACTTACTTGGCTTTTAGCTTCATCTTTTCTTGCATATGTTGATTACTTGTATGAGAAATAAATGATCAAGTTTGTGACATAACTATTTTAAATTGCACAACTGCAATTCTAAACCATTTAAAATTACAGATCCATTTTCCTTAAGTCTATCTGTAATCATTATACTTCATACTTAGACAGTAATGAAAAGATGCTTTGATTTTTAGAATTCTAATTGTTATGCGCTGATCAGACCTATAACTGGATTATAAAAATCAGTCAAAATTTAATATTTTATTACTTAGAAATCATTTTAAAACCTGTAATCCTTAGAATAAGTATTTCAAATATATACTCTGTAAACAAAGAACAACAAGAAAAATGGTCTGTAATCTAATTTTATACAAGTTTTTAAAATATTTCAAAATAAAAATTAAAAAAAACAGTAAAAAGATACAACTCACCTAGAGAAGCATGTTGTTTATTAATAACAGAATGAAACATAAAATTAGTAGTAGTCATCCTTTTTGCCCCATGGGCTGGATGGCAGGACAGCAGACCCAATTTGGTCATGCAGAAAGGGGTGAGAGGCAGCCTGGATGAGGGGGCATGGTTTAAATGGCTGCATTGTTCTAAGAACTACAGAGATCTCCGATTCCTTATTATTTTATAAATCTTGTTTATGGAGTCAGGGTAATATTACCTAACACAACAAAGCATAAGACATTTTCTGGGTAGCAACTATTGACATTTACCCTCTCTCTTATCTCTCCTCCCTGCCCTCCACTTCTGTTATACCTCTAAATCTCCCTTTAGCAGTCTAACATACAGATTTTTTAACTTTATGATATTTCTTCTTCTATAGATGTACCTTTTTCTTTGGAAACCTATGCCAATTAATTTTATAGCTTAAGAAACAGGAACAGTTCAGAACTGCATGTCGCTTTGCTTCAGATGTCATAAAACATCCTTATGTCAAAGGAAATATTGGTAAGATTGCCAAATATAAAAAAAAGTGACCTACTTTGAAAGATATGCATCTTAGTACCAGTACTTATAAGCATCTGCTTTCCAATCCACAGCTTTTAAAAAAGCTTCTAAAATAATTGATTCAGTAGCATACCTATTTAATTATTCCTTATAAAATCAGGATAACCATTTTTAAACTCCAAATTGGTGTTCACAGGCCTAAAGTTACTACGCACAAAATTACCGATTTCTTTCCTGAAAATATTTATGTTGTAAAATTTAACTAGGGATCTTAGGTATCTATTTTCTAGTATATCAAGATGATCTCAGGGGTAAGCCATTCCTGCTACTGTTGCTGTCAGTTAATAAAAACAAGAAACTGGAGAAATTGTTATGCAAGTCAAGTTAAGTACAAATTTCTGATTAGAAGAAAAACTGAAATACTATCCATGCCTCTGCAACTCTCTCTCCACACACATGCACCAGGGGACTACATGTATTGACACTTGCTTACTTTTTCTCAGTGCAAACTCTTCATCTGATGGCTTACGTTCAGGCTTGCGCTTGGGAAGCAGTTTTTTCATGGTTTTAGGACTTTTACTGAGATCCTACAGGGAAAGAAAAGAGGAAAAGGTTTTTTATTGGTTTATTATTCTCTCCTCTCAAAA